GGTTTAGAGTATCTGCAAAAGATTCCCAGTCCTCTGCAGACATTACTTTATAGTTAAAGATGCAGTGACTGATACTGGTATGTTTGCGTAAAGGTTTGCTGAAGACATGTGGGAATGTTCATATGGAGGTAAGAATTAAATGGTCACTAGAGATTGAGATGACAATAACTTAAAGGTATTACAAAATAGATAAGCACATATGTTCTTGATTTGTGACTAATTTTGCAAATAAGTATTCATGTTATTAATTAGTAAATGTTTTTTTAATTTTGTTCAAATAATTAATAAATGACTTTTATATAGCTAAATAAAATCAGTAAGACAAATAAAATAATTTAGAAGGTATTATGAAATAATAAATAGATATTTATTTTTAGATTTGTAAATAAAGAATAATAATTAAAAAATTTAGCTGGAATTATTCAAAATTTTACTAATAAAATTACAGTCACCCATTAAGTAAAAATTGGATTGATATTTAGTATAGGTAGGCAAATATGTTTATTTTTTAATTATAATATATATAAATTAACTATTTTGAATCAAGTTAAGTAAATTTACAAATAGTTAGAGACAGAGTTAAAGTTATAATATAAATTGGCCTAAATTAGATAGGTTTTATATATTATAATTTTGTAATAATTTATATATACCCACCTATACTAAAAGAAATCTCATATAACTATTTTAAATTATTAATAAAGATATAAGCAAGGCCTCACCTTAAAAAAAAAAAAAAAGAATATATTTTATAAGAATAGCAATCCTAGTGTAGTGGATGAGTTGTTATCCTTCAAGTAGCAGGTCTAAGGTTCAAATCTCACCTATGATGAATTTTGAAAATTATATCTGCATTATAGTAACTGTCTACATTGATTAGTTGGCCTCTTGTGGTTGTAACCCAAGTACATCAAGTCAGATCCTACTGACATTGAGAGCTCGGTGCATTTATATGAAATATAATATTACATATATATAGAGAAATGTATAACTGATGTTGTATAAAACTTCAGTGCAAACCCATAATAAGACCACTGTATATAGAAGACTAAGAAACTGAAGTAACAGAAACCCACTTGGAAATTCCTAACTAAAGAGGTAGCATGCACTTTTGACAATACTATTGGACTAGTTAAAGTCTATAAAACACCTTTATAGAAACCAAAGGTTAAACTAAATATCAAATATGTGTAGAGGAGCATATAACCAACCAGGCTGCCAGATTCACCAAAGAAAAGAATATAGAAGTATAGTATACTAGGCTATCTGGATTGGTAGTCTGGAAGAAACTGCTAGTTCTGAGTTGTGGCTAATAAAAGATAATAAAAAAAATGCTAAGAAGATAAGTACTGAAGTTTTAATAAACTTTACAAGGGTAGAAATAGTGTAATATAACAGTTAAATAGATAACCTTTGTGACTGCAAGTATTAGATAACTATAATGTGTTTCATAAAACTAGGTCTATATGTATAGGACATAAAGGCTTTAATAAGTTTTCTGTTGAGAATAAAGTAGTCCTAAAGGTAATGATTAGCATCAGAAACTTGGATTAGTGTAACCTTAAGATGTTTTTATGATACAAGGAGAATTGTATATGTAGAGGGTTTAAATAAGCAAGACCTCTAGTTGGCTTACAGGTATGGCAACTAGTATAGAACTTATATAGCAATATGTAAGTGAACTACTTAAATTAGGCACCAAAGTGCATGTATGGCTAGTTGTAACCTTCAATGAATAGGTAACCTCTAAAGGCATGCCTAGTAATAGGAAAATTAGTCTTTTTTCACATTTCATATGCATGATGCATATGAAATACACATGATGTACATGAAATATGCATGATGCACATTATGAGCATAGAATTCTGAAATGTTCTAAAATTCTGAAATATTCTTATATGCATGAGCACATCACTAGACATGCCATGTCCTATAATACTTGAATAAAAATGTTATATTCCCAAGACAGAGACTTTAACTATAAAAAATATATATATATATTTCATAAGCAAAGTATACCTTATATCATTAATAAATTATTATTTTATTTAAAAATATTAAATACAATTTAATTTTTCAGGCAAATTTAACTGGAATACAGTTTAAGTAATAATACCTACAATTATAAAATATATCACTCACTAAATCAAACATGCCTCTTATCAACTAAGCTATTCATTAGTTACATAACATATCCATTTGTGAAGCTATTTCAGGATGCTACACAAAGTTACAAGGATTGATTATCTAATCAGATCCAAAATTTCACACACTACATAGAATTGCAACACTACATTGTATGTTATAGTATAAACTCTGTAATTTAAAAAGAAAAAACAGAATAAAATCAAATACTTATAAACTAACAATTGTATTATTTAGTGATAAGCATATAGTTCTTTTGTATACTGGTTTAAATAAGCTTATTAAATTGATTTTTTTATATAATTTATATTATTATTTTGAAGTACAAACAATAACAAAATTTATATTTATAATATAGTAGTTTTGTGTAGCAGATTTTTGATAGGTGTTATTAATTTCAAATTTATTTATTTATATTTGCTTTATATAAGGCATAATAAGTAATTTAATAAAGCTTTACTCTTTACTAATTTTAAAATAAGCTTAATACTTATACTCTAATAATTTGAATAAATTAATTTATTTAATGTTAAATAATTTTATTTATAATAAGCTAGATTTTACTCATAAATCAATACATAAATGAATAGATAAATAAAAATAACTTTATACATACATACTATTAGCATTAGAGTATTTGTGAATCTAATTTAAATGATTTTTTTTAGCAAATTAGAAAAGATATTACAAAAAAATGTATTATATAAACTTGTTTGTATATATGTAGGTTAAAAAAATTTACAAATGTATATATGATTAAAGTAACTTATAAAATTTATCTTTTATAATTGTCTTTTTTTTTTAATAATTAGGATTAGAGTGAATGATAATATTGTTCTTTTCATGTTAAGGTTAGTATAAGCTATAGGTAAAGTCTCTTAAAACATTTTTTTTTACAAATTATACATACTATCTTAATCTCTACTATACATGTTTTATTAATTATACATTATGCATTTTTTATATTTAAAGCTATTGATACTAAATATACAAAACTAATAGGCATTATTAATAATATAGGTAATGTTGTTAACAGAAAAAGATCATTGGATCGATCGCTCCAAAATTGAATAACCACTCTGGGTTAATATCAGTTGAAAGAGGTGTGTTAAATTTAGTGAGTAGTTAACTTGGTACTAGTCAAGTATTATATAATTACAGGTTAGGAACAGATTATGTATTAGTGAAGGTATTAGAAACTAGTTTATGTTTAAAGAATGAAAATTGTTATTATCTTAAAGGGCCTTTTCAGCCTTTATTTATAACTGTAGAATTCTATTTACAATATGTGATAGATACAACTAGTGATGGACAAATCATGGTTTTTTTAAAATCCTGTGCAGCCACACAGAATCATGTGCAGGATCTATATGGAATTTGCAAGATAATATAGAGTTTTTTAATTTCTCACAAATAATAAATATATTCTTGATTCATTACTTTTATATATAAAATTAAAAATTTTAGATTTTTAAGTTATTAATATTAACAGTTTAAGAAATTAAATTTTTTATGTAAAATGATAAATAAATAAAAGGTTTTACAGAGAAATGCATACTTATGTACATTAATAACAAATTAGGAATTGGTCTAATTATGTTAATGCAGACCAGATTAGATGTAATGTAGGCTAGGTGAAAAGTTAATGTGGGCTAAATAATTTTATATTAAAAACATCATGCAGAATTCAAAAAAATTCTGCACATCTCACATGTGATCCCATATGGATCTTGTGCATTGCTCATCATTAGATACAACTGATATCTCTAATGCTACTGATTAGTCGTATTTTACTAATATTTCTCTTCTAACCTATACAGCTATCTGTTATATTTGATATATATGTTATATGTGACAAATCAGTCACATGCAATAAATATAACAGATGTGATCAACCTACTTTCTAATTTAATAATAACTTAAGTGACTAGGATTTATTCAGGTTTTACAATATTGTTGCCTATAATATGATATAGATTTGCTTGTTTTTTATTCTTATTTTATTTTAAAAAAAATTATATAAGCTTTTCTGTCATTAAATATTTGTATTTGAATTTATATTATTTAAAAAAAGAAAATTTACTTAAGCTTTATTATTATTAGATGTTTGTATTGAATTTAATGCATTAGCTTTGGCCCTTAAGCCAAAACTAGACACTTATTTGTCATGTAATAAAACAATCATACTGTGATCCAAATAAACTGCTTTTGGATATTACATATTCAATAATTATATATGTACTTACATACATACTATATATTATCAATTAAAGCAACCACCAGATTTGGAGTCAAAAATTTGACTACTGTTATTATGTTCTAAAAGAATTATACTCAAAAAAAAGCAACCCCTTCACTTCTGCTTAGAAAGATTTATAGTTTTTTTATAGTATTTTGGTTGCTTCTATTCAGTAATATACAGTATGTATTCTAGTTTAATCAATTGCTATTGATAAGTAAACATAGTGCACTTTTAGGTGGTGATACATTAAATTTTCAATTAGGAACTGAGGTGTGTTACAACTTGGAAGAGCTTTTAACTTGTGTTTATTTAACACAGTGTCATTAATATTAAATTTTAAATATAAGGTAGATATGAGCATTGTGGCACAATTAACTTTAGTTATAATAAAACTTTAAATAATTAATATGAAATTAATAAAATTTCTTTAGAATAAGATAAGTTGTCTTTTAAATAGTACTTTTATTTAAAATTAAAACATTTTCAATATAAAAAAATATTTTTATTAAGATTAACTAAATTTTATTTAAAATCTATAATTTTAGGCAGTTTTATCAAAAATGGCATACTATGTATGATGATTATGATGATGATGTATATATATACATATAAGCTAATTTTTTTTCTTTTTTCCTCTAATATGTTGTTTTTTTGCTTTTGCAAAGTCTAATCCTTTCTTCTTTTGAACTCTAGCAATTTGTTTTTGCATAGCAGTTTCTTTTTTTTGCTTAATCTCATTGACTTTACTTTTAGCTTTTTCTTTCATGTCTTTTAATAGTTTTAGAGATGTTTTATTTATAAAAAGTTAGAAAAATGGCATAGTTTTTCTTTTTTTTCTTTTTTGCAAACTTGCTTCAAGTTGTTTTATAGCTTGATCTAGATCTTTAACTGATTATAAAATATAAAAAAGAGAGTACTTAAGCACTAAACATAATAGGTAGATGCCAGGGTTTTTGAAAGTTTCTAGTTCATCTTTTGTCACTTTTAACTCTGCTTCTAACTGATTAACTCTAAGATTAAGTGATTCAACCTTAGCTTTTAATGATCTTTTCTTAATATAAGTAAGAGTAAAATTTGAATTTAGGTTAGAAAAAACTTGTAAAGATAAAAAATTAATGTAGAAGATTGCAAATACAGAATTGGTATAGAAGGTTACATTGGCAAAATGTCAAACTATTCTGTTACTAAAGAAGAATCAAGGCAATCAGAACTAATTGCATTTGGGTTAAATGGTCAGATTCCAGTTGCTTTGAAAGCATTGCAAATAGTTACAAATATGTAAGTTTTAATTTAAGCTAAACCAAAAACCTTAGCAAATGTATATTTGGTAACTAATTTGCTATTATTATTAAAGTGAAGCTGTTTACAGTTTTTACTATAAGCTTGTTTAAGATGAGTGAAAGGAATTTCTGCAGACTAAAGTATATGAATTGTATAGGATAGGAGTGCATAGAGAAAAATGTTGTTGTTGAAGCAAAGGTTAATACAAGCATAACTAATATAACTTTTATGATCATCAAGAATTAATAAAACAGGTTGAGTAGATAGAATTGAACAAATGAAATGTTTGATATATTTTTGAAAAAACATTCTTTTATATATCCACTATCTGTAAATTCCATAACAGAACCTGCAGGTGCACCATTCAAAAGACCAGAAATTATGTACTTTTCTTTGTAGATAATTTATAGTGGTATATATATTCTGACTGCTGAGATTGTTGAATATACTGAAATGTGTTCTTAAGACTTTCTTTGTGAAACCTAATGAACTTGAAAAGCATTCTTCTTTGTGATTATTTTTTGAAAAGTCAGATAAATAATGAAGTTCATCTCATTCTAAATATGATATAAAAAAGATAATTAAAAAAAAAGCAAATAAAAAAAAAATAGAAAAAAGAGAATAAAAACAGAGATCATATTTCAAATTCAATCTGGAATAAATGAATTATTTTTAATTATTTTTTGAAGTTTTTGAAAGTGATTATTAACAATTATAAGATTAGCATTTTAGGCTTATGTTTCATTTAAGACCTGTAGAATTTGAAATGAAAGTTCTGGATAGTCTCTCATAAATCATTCCTACCATGATTGATCTGGTCCACTTTCTCTAAAAGGATAAAATTTATTAGTTTGGTGAACAATATCTATTATATATTAATTCATTTCTAATCTTGTCAATTCAAAATCAGGTCTTTGCATATTTAAACAATAACCAACAAGTGCTGTTCTTCATAGTTAGTTAAAACTTTGGCAAGGTCTGGACAACCAGAAGGACCACTATTTTTAATAATACATCTTAAAATAGTTTTAGAAATATCATATTTTTTTACAAGACTTCAATGACTTGGTAACTTAGGATTATTTTGAGAACTATTTAGTTCTTTAAGGATATTTGAAATTGTATTTTGTTTTACAGATTGGTTGTTATGCATTAATATTTTGTTTTTTAATAAGCTTATAGATTAAAATATATAGTATCAATTTATAAGATTTTGATTATTAATTTTTTTATTTATTAAAAATATGCAAATGGGTATGTTTTAACTATATTATTATTTATTGATACATAAAATTTATTTTTTTGTTTGTTAAGTTCTATATTATAGATAGACAAAGTAATTTTATAAGTAATAATGACCTATGATTCATGACTTTATTTAGTATTAAGTAATATTAAGTAATTATTACATTTTATTACTTATTATATATATATATGAAACACATGATAACGATCAGAATTGACTAAGATTAAACAAAAAATTATTACTAGAAATGAGTATCTGTAAAAGAAAACATGCATATTTAAATATAGGCTATATATAAATAGTATGTTTTAATTGGTAATACTCAAATATTTATTATTACCTATTGTCAAAAATCTTAGATAATATTAAGTAAGAGTATATAATAGTTTCACCCATCTCTACACTATATAGGATTTTTTGAATACGTATCATTTCATTTTACTAAACATTCTATCACACAATGTAAGGAGTAATATTGAACAATAACTATTAATCATCAAACAATCATTAAATATTAACCATTACTTTGTGTAATTGGATGTTTAGTAAAGCAATGGTTGATGAAATGATATATATCCTTTTTTTTTATTCCCCTACTAGTACTAGTTTTTATAAATCAAACAGCAATATCAGTACACTCTTCTCGATGATCACTTAAACCAAACTAGCACCAAAACAGTTTGAAGAGTTATGCTTTTAAGATGATGATATCTTTGATTCTGTTTAGATATATAAAGCAGATTGTTGCTAACGAACTAGAAGTACGTGAAAAAACCGAGGTGCAGGTGACTCTTCTGGTGGTTTGTGTTGAGGTCAAGCCTTGTCTATTAGTGGACTCCCCAACACGTTTAGTATCCAAACCAGAAGGATATTCTGGAAACAATAGAGGAAAACTCTGGTTAAAGGTTATCAAAAGCTTGAAAACAAACAAACAACTGGAAACACTCTCTTTGGTTTGGTTTTTCACATATTACATCTGTCGACCTTCTCTACCTATTTTGTTTTTTTTACTCAAAAGTGGGGAAATTGGCTTCCCTTCTACAAAAGATCGGCATTGTTTACCACTTCTTTTTTCGGACAGTTATGTGTTGACATGATGTAATAGGAACACAACAATCACATGTATGACCTAACATATGGTGTAATAAAGAAACGAAGAAGGATTTAAGTTAGAGGATTATAGCAAATTAGAGATATATAATAATTCCTAAAATCATGTATATAAAATTTTTATCCCTTTAGCACAGGTTAAAGTGTAGTTAGATCCTTAACACAGGTTTAAAGTGTTAGTGTCCTAAATGGTCACAAATAAGATGTGCTCTCTGACAATTGTTTTTTTTTCTTTTTTTCTTCCTGTATCCTTTTTTAGTTTAGTTTAGTTTAATGTTTTTTTTTCTTTTTTTCTTCCTGTATCCCTTTTTAGTTTAGTTTAGTTTAATGTTTTTTTTTCTTCTTTCACTTCCCTATGAGAAAGTGTTATCAGATTGGTAACATTCTATTGTAGGGCAGTGGTCAGATGAGTCCCCCAGGTCACCTTTTTTCTTTAGAAATTAGGCAACTGGTGTGGCAGATCACTTGTAAGTGCTCATAGAAGTAACTGCGGGATGTTGACTCAGCACATTAAGTCTAAAAATATTTGTGTATATAAACAGAAATCTTAATAAAGAGTATCGGCAAGACTGCCAAAGTGAAAAAAAAAAAAGTTTTTATAAATCACCTAGTATATTTGCATAAATAATATTTATATGCTTTATATCGAAATAATATGCATTGATATTATTTATACAAATATAATGTACTAATTAACCACAAAACAATATAAAATAAAATTAATAGAAATTGGTCTACAAAGTTATGAAGACTTTAAATTTGACTATTCGAATGTAATTGGTTGTTCAAAATTTGAATCTTGAACAACTCTTGAATTTTGTATGAAATTAGCAAATCAATACATGATATTAATCTTAATAAATAACTAGTGGCCCAATATATCTATGATAAGGCCTTTATTCTTCAACTGACTCCCACATGATTATGCCAACCCATAAATATATACTGCTGTATAGATTTTTTTACTTTACAAAATGATTCTAAATCAGAAATATCAGAAATAAATATTTGTTCAAATAAATATTTTTTATATGCAAATTGGAACTTATACATTATAAAAAAATTTTTTATTAATACACAAATCTATACACACTCAAATTTAATTAACTAACAACTTATTGTACGATGCTGCGCCAAAATGTGATTTTTAATATACGAATAAATGATGTAATATTGATTAGCAAAAGGTTATCTATATCTCTTCGAACTTTGATATTTTATAGAGTTTGACTTGAGAAACAATTGTACTTTATTTAAGCTGTTATTTACTTAATAAATAATCTCAATATAAATTGTAATTGTTAGTGTGTGTTAAATGCTTCTGCTCAATAGAGTTTAGAAACCTATTTGAGTAACGATATCTCGTGACCCAGCAGTCAGAATCGGACGATTTTGACATCATTCGATTCGTCTCAATGAGACGAATCGATTGGTGCAAAAATCACATGATTCTAATCACTAGGTCGCGAGATATCATAGATACACCACAATACCCATGTGCGCCACAATACCCATATCTACCTTATGATTCGGTGAGCAAATTACAACGGTTTATAGACTGGCCTTAGTGCCAAAAAGGAAATGTCGTGCGATAATACAATTGTTCCAAGACCAAAATTAGCTATTATCATTATGCAAAAATGTGTTCATCGATTTTTAGCTCAAAAATGTCGTAATCAGTGAAAGTTTAATAAAGTAACGGGTAGATTGAAGAATCGTGAACCCATTTACATCACACCTTATATAATCACATTAATAACATTCGTGTAACAGTCATGGTTAGAGTTTGTACTACCTGCATAATATGGTTGTACTACATAATGTGATTAAATCAAATGTGATATAAATGGGTTCACGATTGTTCAAGTGTCCCAAAGTAACTATGTCCATCATTACATAATTACAAAATATTGCGACATTTTTCGTAACAGGGGCTGAATCCATGACTCTTTCTTTCGTCATGTCCTTTGACGATCAGTGATTATCGAAAAGAGAAACAGCCACACGACCCCTCCACTGCCGAAGCCAAGCATGCAAAATAGCAAATAAGGCATGGAAGGTCAAACAATGTAAACAACACATGTCAGAGACATATGAGGCGCAAGAAAGCAGGTATTAGGGAGCCAGGGCATCAATGAACAAACATATAAGATTAAGCAAGCACTTCAGCGCTCTGTCTAAAATTTTCGCGACCCACCCAGCCCACTCCAAGACCGAGACATGTGATTATGTCATTTCTTCACTCACAGCCGGCTTGCTTCGTCAAGCGGGAAACCACTGGCTATTTCTACGGTGACTCTCAGTGCAATCACACAATTGCTGTTTCGCAATCACTCACTTCTTGATCACGTATTTATTACTTCAAATTACCTGTCGGCAACTCTGTATGTCGTGTAACGTGATGCTTTTCGATCCATCATACCGGTAAAAAATAAATAAAATAAAAACATAACTTTAGACCGAGTCAACTAAGTAAATCAAAACTTTATGTAATACCATATAAAAATCAAATATTTACTAATTTTTTTGAATTTTAGTGATTAGAATAGTGATTAAGACAGTGAGCAGATTCTTCACAATATATATATATATTTTAATAGTAGCTTTACTTTTTTTTAATCATTTTAGCATCTTTCCCTTTGAATAATATACGATATAAAAGGAAATTTTTGTAAAAAGTCAATGTAACTTTGTTATAATCATGTTTGAAAATAGATTTGTGCTAATATCATGGCAAATTTCGGAGATTCTAAATAATCAATACGTATTCAATCAGTAATATTTCTATCTATTTTGAAATATGTAAAATTCTCTTAGAATCGAACAATCGCCGTGATTTTACATGATATCATGATCTGCGACGGTCACTTTTTTGCAAACCGCAATAAAAAAAAGATCAAATAAACTATTTAAAGCAATCGATTCTAGATATACAAAACTAGTAGCCATTATTAAAGAGCCTATTTTGTAGATCATATGATTTTTTACAACTCTAAAATTATTCATTGTAAAGAAGATCAAATGCACTCTTTAAAACAATTGATTCCAAATATACAAAACTAGTTCTATATAAAGTGATTGATATTTTTAGATTTCCTGCACCGTACATATATATGACAAGTGACGCCAACGATTTAACCTTTTATTGACAATAAAAGACAATCATCCTTCTGACCAGATTTAACATAACTATTAAAGTTAAAAAAAAAAAAAGCTTCTTATCAGAAATATATATATAAATACCTTTTGTAAATCTTGAAGAAAAAGATAACACACTGAATTGAAATTGAAAACTCAAAATTATGAATAGTCAAATACAAGAACCCGACAGCAATGATTACGTAGCTTTTTGGCATGATGCTAACAAGAGAGATAATTATCTAAAAGAGAATTTTAAAAAATTACCTGAGGAATACCAACAATTAGTAAGAAATATTGGTAACAGAGGCCTAGGACCATCATATAATGGTTTTCAACTTCTTTCATTAGCTGTCTGGCTAAGAAAAGAAGAACAATATACGGCAATTGATTATTGGCAAGGAACGAATAACCTTTATTCTTATTACAAATATAATGCTCTAAATGAATTGATCAAGAAAAGAAATCAATTACAAACTGAATTCTCTCATACGCCAATTATTAAGACTAATGACTTTCATTATGTCAAACTAATTATTAGCAATATTTCAAAAGGAGATTTATATTTGTGTGACTACAGAAGCCCTTATTTAAGTACGATAAAACCAACTATCAATAAGGGTACTTCTGCAACATATATTTGCAAATCTGAAGCATTTCATCGTTTAAGTGCTCCAATGAAATTCTTGAGTTCTAGAGATCTATATGCCAGTTCATGGTCTGCAAATGCCTTCTGTATATCCATTAATAACGATGATAAATCTAGATTATTAGTATACGAATGTGAAAAAAATGATTCTTTAGATGATGTGATGAATAGAGATGTGGGTAAAGAAATATTGAATTTAACAAATGGTACTACTTATAAGGGTTTATTTAATAGTTGGATTTATGCTAGTGTTACAGCTGATAGTGGAAGGAATGTAGAAATTAACATAGAAATAGGAGGCAATCCATTTTCATTCTAAGTTATGATTATTTCAACTTTTTAAATTCCTCTCTCCAATATAACATTTCACTACTTTCTACTTTCTATTTTTGGGAAAATAAATGTATATTATATATTTACTGGAATAAAGTTCAATCATTTTAAAAAGCTGTTTTTGATTATTCTAAATTACCGAGGGCGCAGCCATGTGATATAATTCTCCGGAATTTTGATTCAAAAATTTTTAAATTTACTTTTCATGCTTTTTTTATTATTTTTTGAATATGACACAAAATAATGCCCAGGATATTATTTGGAAACACGGTTTTCAGAGAGGCAATAATTAATTTTACAAAGATATTTTAAAAAAAAATTTATTTCTTTGGAAATTGTGCACTTAAAATAACGCCCGAGCGTAATTTGCAACGATACAATAAGCTTGTTAGGCCTTCTTAATGGTTATATAAGAGACAAACCAGTTATTATTTGTCCAGAAGAAACAGTTAGACATATTTAAACTTAATTACAAAATAATAATCGTAAACAGATTTAAAATGAATTATAGAATTTGAATTACATTATAATATACAATTGATATCGAATTATCGAATATACAAAATCTACACTTTCCAAACATCATAAATATTTCACATTCATTATGTGTAGAATTTATTATAAAAAGTTTGTTACAGCAGTAATTGGAGTTATAAACTAATCTAAATTCATAAATCAAATTAACACAAATAAATGATTCAATAGAAGTTATAAAGGACTGTAGAGTTCTAAAACAAACTACTCAACTAATATAAATTTAAATTTCATGTTCATTATGGTTTATAAACGAACCAGTAATCATGATCCAAATTGAACACAATAAATAAACAATTCGATATAGGTTATAAAAGTTTGTAGAATTTTAAAATATACTCACGAGTTAAAATAATGAAAAGAACCAGTCTGCCAAAATACAGATCATTCTTGTTAGTAAACTATTGACATAATAAAGAGTTTCAAATTACGGAATTATTATATTTCAACCGGATGTAATATAAGTTACAGTTAAGATTTTTGTTCCCAGCTTGAGAATTTCGTTATAACGTGGATAAGTTGTAATCATTTGCTTATCATGTTTTCTTGTATTTCTATATACAGTATAATGTCTAAAATTCAGCATCAAGAACGTGGGCGGACCGCACATTAAACATAAATCCTGGTGCGCTGAAGCGCACATAAAATTTTAAGTGTGTGCAAAAGAAAAAAGTCCAAATAAGTATCACAATCATTTATTATACACCTTCATTTTAAAGTTGATGTGAATTCGATATCAATAAATATTTAAAGATATAAATTAATTTCGATGTTCGTATCATGGTTAGTTAACAAGTTAGCTTCATAATAAATATAGCGCACATCAAAGATTAAAAATACATCAATTTAAGAATTTTAATAAGCGCATTGCGTCCATAATTTTGAGCAAGACGCACATATTGTTAACTTTAATGTGCGGAAAAGTTTTTTAAAGGGACTACGCCCTTTCCGCACATTAATTTTAGACAATATTAGTAATAGTTGTATTAATTACATCTAAACTGATCAACTTAATATTCAATTTCTTTTTTTATATAATCTTAAGTAACACTAATATTCTCAATAATTATTTAATTCTTTTATCATCTTAAATCTTTTCAAATACTTATAGTAAATCTTTATATTATTATACTAGCATAGACATAAAAGTTTTTAACTACAACATTATAATTTCTAATAATTGGTCAGAATTTTTTAAACTTTTTACATTTAACCTTAATCTCACAACATTTCTTCTTATTTTATAATGTTAAGAAAATATTAGAACAATATAATACAAAATTGAGTACTTTTTTATTTATATTGCAATACAATCAATTCTTAATAAGATTAGTCATAAATAAAGCTATAACTATTTATATACTTTATATAGCATATTTATTTATCTATTAATTAAAAAATTTGATTATTTGATCAAAATTATCAAAAAAATAAACAATCTATTAACATTCTTTCTATTAATAACTATATTAAATTTATCAATCTTTGACCTCTAACTTATCTTTTTATCTAATTATATTAATAAATAGATTGAATATATCAATAATATTTAAAAACAATTATATTATGTATACAATATCAAAAGCTTATTATTTCTTTATTAACAAATTATAAAGTTTTAAAAAAAATATAAAATTCTTATTTCATATTTTAAGCAGACAATTAACAGTATTTTTAACCATTATTATAAAACTATCTATTTCTTTATATTTAAGTTTCTAATTAATTTATCATTGAACCAAACTCTATTAAATAATATATTCAAAATTAGTTTAAAAACTAGACAGCACATAGACTAGTTAATCAAAATCTTTATTAAAACTTTTAGAAACAATACTATAAACAACAACTATATATTAATTTAGAATAATACTATTTATTTATTTAACCTATTACAACAGATGATGTACTCAATACAATAACTCAATTTTCTAATAACAAAGCTTGTAATCTAATAGCTATAAACTATGAAATAATTAAATATACTAAGTTTACATGTATTCATATTATTACTGACTTATTTAAATACTATTAAATTCTAACTAAATTTCTAAATAATAAAAATATAGTAAAATCTATTCTATTTCTAAGCAAAATAGTTTTAATAAAAATCTTAATCTAACATAATTTATAAGTCTTATTGAACATATTTAAAAAATTTATATAAAAATTATTATAAACAAACTTAATGCTGTATTTATACAACATTTTATTTTTTTACTATTTAGTTATATTGCTCTTTTAAACAATAATACTTCTATTTTTATTTATATTCTTAATATTTTATTAAAAATATTATAAAGATATTTAACTTCTATTTTAAAATATAACTAAGCTTATAATTCTGTTAACTTTATTTTTTTCAAATAATTACTTGTATATTTTTTTTACTCTTACAAACTATAAATACAAATATAAAAATATTTGTAAATAGATATTACTAATTTTTTTATTTTATTTTATCATATTTTATTTATAATAGTATTAATCAAAATGAAATTATTACATCTCTATTTTGAAAAATTTATTATAATTTTCTTATTATCTTATTTATTTATAATATATAGATTATATTATACAAACTTTTTGCATTACTAATTTAAAAAAAAATCTTTAATAAATTTACAACTTAGTATTTAGTTTTTATATATATAAATAATACTCAATAAATTATATTCTTACAAACTAAACTATTATAGATCTTACAAACTGCTAATCTTTTTATAATATAACAAATATTTAGATTAATTTTTTAAATCTATTTTTATTACTAACAACCTACTACTTAATTATAATTTTATTAATTTTAACAACTATAAATATTTTTAAATTTCTTATCGAATTGTTTATACTTAATAACAAACACTTTTAACAAATTCAACTTATTATTTTAAATTTTAATAACTTATTAAAATTGCTAGTTTTAAATATATTACTAATATACAAGTATAATATATTATTAATATAGTTATTATTTTAATAATTAAATATTATTTTTATAATATTATTCTTATTCGAACTATTTACAAAAAAATTTTTACTTATTATATTAGTCTTATTAAACAAAAAAACTAAACTTAGTTATACAATTTTTATTAGTATTCTTTTTATTCTTAATTGTATAATATTTGCAATATTTAGAATATTTAATTATACTATTATATCTCTAATTATATTAAATAACTTAACTATTTAGAACTAGTTATCATATCTGTTTTAAATAACTACAAAATAATATTTAATTATTTACAAATATATTTTGTTATTCTAATCTTTTAATTGATAGTTCAAAAAAACAAAAAATAATATCAAACTTATTCAACTTTTTATATATTTATATTTATTTATTAGTCAAAATTCTGTATATAATAAATTTTTTATACAATTAACATAAATATTGTTTATCTAAATTTATATAATTTGCAAATATTCAGTTAGTTATTTTTTGGAAGATTTTTTAGAATTTATAATATTAGTTACAAATTTTAAAAATTTTTAGATTTACTTTAATCTACAATTATTTCAGATTTGACTTATAAATTTGTAGACTAGACTAGATTAGGTTGCAAGATCTAATGCATACTTTATCTTAAATTATCTTCTAAATTTGAGTGACATTCCTAATGCATTTTTTGTAAATCAAGATTTTGTACAATTTTATTAATTAACTAAAAATTATATAGTTTAATACAAAAAAATATCTCAAATATAAAAATTATATAATTTTTAGATAAATAAAGTATATATATTTTTTTTATATTAAAGGTTTTGCTTTTAAAAAATAATTTTTATTCAAGTATAGGACTTAAGTAATTTTAGAAATTCTCTTATATTAAAGGTTATAGCTAGTTATATATATATTTTTGATACTTAATTTAAGTAGTTTGTTTATACATTATTGTATAAGATTTGTACTAGGTATTATATTTGCAAGCTAACTATAGATTTTTGTCTATTTAAACTCTTTGTATATATTATCTAATCTGTATTATGAGAATATTTTCAGAAAACAATTTATTCAAGTTTCTAATTCTTATCAGTATTTTTAAAACTATTTTATCCTTAACAAAAGATTTACTAAAGCCTATATGTCTTACATATATCTAATCTAGTTTTATATAATATACCATAATTATCTGATATTTACAATTATAGGAGTTAGCTGTTTAATACTTACATTAAATTATTTTTATTATTATAAAGTTTACTAAAACTTTAATATTTTTTTGATTTTTTTTTATTATTTTTTACTAATCATTATTTTAAATTGAAAGACTTTAACCAGACTACCAATATAAATAGTTTGATATAGCATATTTCTATATTCTTTTTTCTAGTGAATTTAGTAAACTAGTTGGTTTATATGCTTTTCTATATATATTTTATATTTAGTTTAACTACTCTGTTTCTTTAAAGTAATTTGTAAACTTTAAACTGTTTAATAGTATTATT